GATAACAGATACTTCAAGTAGCTATTATTCTTTCGCTAGAGGAAATAAAATATAATAAAACAATCACATACATGCACAGACACACATATATATGTATACATATATATATATATATTGTGTGTATTTAGGCAGCATTTTTTCATTGATGCATGTTTCATTAAATAATATTGACAAGTTTTCTTTATGTAAATTCTTTTCATATCGTCTGATAAGCTTAATAACATTATCATTAAAAGATGAAAGAAAATCACAATATTGATACATATTTTTTAATCCTATCTAAGCTTTCGGCTTACATAAGCCATTATCAAAGATGACAAATTTGTCTATATTATTTAATGAAACATGCAATATATATATATATATATATATATATATATATATATATATATATATATATAATATGAGATTAGGAAAAAATCCACGCGCAACGCACTACTGGTAGATCTACATTTCGACATCACCTCAGACCGTTGATATAATAGGTCTTGGTACGTCACTATGGCCAGCTTCTCTTCCTGACAAACCCTGCAAACATTATCAATACATCTGTAAGGCTTAACTCGCCCGAATAAACTCGATTTTATGCTGGGGCTTTTATTGTAATTCTTTTTTAAATTTCCACACATCGACCATCATAAAGACTGAAAAATAAAATTGACAAAGATTTTTGTTTAAAGTCTTAATTAGTTTTTTTGTTATTTTTTTTTTACGAATTGTTCAAACCCAAACTCAAACAAAAGCATTGTTTTCAATTGTTATGAGTCTACCGATTGAATAGAATTTTATTATAAACAATTGTCTTGTAAATGGAATTTTTAAAGCATTCTGAATATAAAAGTAATGAAAAAAGTGTGCAAGACAATAAGAAACACTACCTGCCAAAAAAAAAAGGTGAAGTTTTGTTGAAATCGGTTGAAAAATGTAGGAAATCCGATCCCATATATAAACGAACACACACACACACACACACACACAAACAAACAACCTGGGTTTCATAATAAGTATAACTCGATATGAGTTGTCCCCCTTTCATTCTCGCGATGCCTCTTAATCGTGTTTTCAAATTGATTTCGTGCAAAAACAATTGTTTTTTTCCAATTTTTGGCGCTGTCAGAACCACCGCAAGGTAATTTTACGTAATCCTCTGAAGTTTTGTTGAAATCCGTTGAAAAATGTAGGAAATCCGATCCAATATATAAACGTACAAACACACACACATAATCTGCGTTTTATAATAAGTAAGATATATATATATATATATATATGTGTGTGTGTGTGTGTGTGTGTGTGTGTTATAAATTAACTGATTTAAAATATGGTTTTTCGCTACACAGTAATAACCATGTTTCAAAGATGTAAGCTAAAAATTTCAAATGAAGATGAAACGGAACTAATGCTTTTAATTTAATTATGTAATTAAATTTAAAGTTTTTAGACTCGGTTTTTGAAACATGGTTATTACTGAGTAGCGAAAAACCATATTTTAAATCAGTTAATTTATAATATTTATGCTCTGTAAATTTTCATTGAGCACTGTTTTGTAAAAATAAAAATAAAAAATAACAAGAACACTGGATTATATATCTTACTGTTCTTTCTTTCTTTATAAATATATATATATATATATATATATATATATATATATATATATATAAAATTTTCAATCAAAACAATTGACAAGATACTGCGGTTAAGTTTCTAATTCAATTTTTCTTGTTTTCTTTTATTTTCTTCTTTTCTGGTCATAAATTAACTAGAAATTTTCAAAATGTTTTGTTTGTCCGAACACTTTCGACTATAATTTTAGCCATTATCAAGGATGAAAATATGTTTACTTTTTTTTGACTGTGTTTGGAAAATAATTTATTCCCATATCTCTCGACGCATACTGAAAACAATCCATGCATTCAATTAAAATTAAAAATAAAATCATATATATATATTTTTATATATATATTTTATATATATATATATATATATATATATATATATATATATTTTATAGGAATTTATATGTAAATTTTTTTTATTTTTATAGAGAAATATTGAAATTAAATTTATTTATTTACAAAAGGGTTTTCAGAAGAAAAAAAACTTTTACCGGTTTCGCTCTTAATTTATCAAAATGTTTGTAAATGTTTACATTCCCACGTGTTGACGCCTGCACCTTGAACAAATGAAAAAAATATAAACCAAAATTTGATTAGTGCAGACATAATACTCGATTAGTGCGATAAAACATTCTTCAGTTTAACCAACGTAATTGAAAATTGATTTTTTAAAGTTACTGATTAATTCAAAATTTTCTAAAATTTAAAAATGGAAAATTGGTAACTATTTTGGTTGTCAATTTTGTTTCTATTCGATCAATGCGTTTTCGATTAATGCTTATCTTCTAACCGCAGTAATCGAGCGATTCCTGTATTACGAAGGCATCAAGTCTCAGATGTACTGCCGAGAAGAATTTATAATGTGAATATAAAGTGAGGGATCCATTCTATATTACAACCAATATATAAACTGGTCTCTCATTTTATGGCCACGGTAGTTTCTATACATTTATATTCCAGAAAATGTAAATAAATCTAAAAGACATGCCGACAAGGAATTATAATGTGGATAAAAAGTGGGGGATCAATTCTATATTACGATCAACATGTAAACTGATCCATCACTTTGTAGCCACGGTAATTTCTATACATTTATTTTCCAGAAAATGTAAATAAATTTAATAGACATGCTGACAAGAAATTATCATGTTAATGCTAAGTGAGAGATCAATTCTATATTACAATCAATATATAAACAGGTCCCTCATTTTGTCGCCATGGTAGTTTCTTTACATTTATATTCCAGAGAATGTAAATAAATTTAAAAAATATGCCTGTGTAGCTAATCAATATTTCATTGATTCGTTTTTTACAGATTATCAACACTCTGCAGATTATTTAAAGCCAGAATATATTGTTAGATTGTAAGAAATTGGGGGGGGGAGATAATAATGGTTTAATGATACAAGTCTTACTAATTAATCTATTGCTGTGGGAGAAGCTTTATTCATACCTTTCCCAAGGCTATTCATACCTCCCCTTAGTGTATATAACGAACCCAAATGGAATTGAAACTTATCTGTCCGATTTCCAATTCCGAACCGTTGTCCATTACACGATCCGCACATCCGAGCTTACCGCACATGATGCTCCCAAGCGGTCACTCATCTAGGTACTGACCAAACTCGACATTGCTTAACTTCAGTAATTGTATGAAAACCGGTGTTTCAACGTGATATGGTCGTAAGCCACACTACCTTCACATCCAAATTTACAGCACCTGGTATTCCCAAGTAGTCACTCATCTAGATACTGACCAGTTTAGACGTTGCTTAACTTCGGTGATCGTACGAGGCCCGGTGTTTCAACGTGATATGGTCGTAAGCCATACTACCTGCACATCGAAATTTACAGCACCTGGTATTCCCAAGCAGTCACCCATTTAGATACTGACCAGTTTCGACATTGCTTAACTTCGGTGATCGTACGAGGCCCGGTGTTTCAACCTGATATGGTCGTAAGCTTTACTACCTGCACATCAAAGCTGACAGAACCTGGTATTCCCAAGCAGTCACCCATCTAGGTACTGACCAGTTTCGACATTGCTTAACTTCGGCGCTGATTGTACGAGACCCGGTGTTTCAACCTGATATGGTCGTAAGTTTTGCTACCTGCACATCAAAGCTGACAGAACCTGGTATTCCCAAGCAGTCACCCATCTAGGTACTGACCAGTTTCGACATTGCTTAACTTCGGCGCTGATTGTACGAGACCCGGTGTTTCAACCTGATATGGTTTGATAAGTTGATTAGTTAAAATTAATTTAATCGAGTGAACAATTAATTTCACTGTATTCTCTTTATTATTCCGTAGAACAACATCTCTGCTGCCTTAATTCTCTTCTTCATCTTTGAGGAGATGCTGCAGTAGACAACGAAATTATTGAATGTTTTGGTTGATGTTGTTGCTATTGTTATTGTTACGTGCGTGTAAGAGTTAAAAGATTTTTTTCATCCATCTATATATAAAATTCTGCGACTTCCGTCCGTCCACCCGTTCGTCACGTCCTCTAAAATAGCAATACATTAAGCGATCGAAACGAAATTTTGAGGAGAAGTGCAAACAGGTAAGAGTATAAAAAGTACAGTTGGGTTTTCTAAGGTTCTAAGCTTAGTACAATAAATTTTCATACATTTTTTTTGTTGGGGGCGGGGAATTAAAAGTTTTAACATACAAATATTACCACTATTTTAAAAACAATATTTAACAAATGCTTATTTAATAAAAATGCAATATTGTTTTTAGCATAACTTCATATCTTTTCTTTAAGTTCATATATACTAGAATTCATTTCCAACACGCTGACGCCTGTTAAAATCCCTCACCCCAATATTTAATATTATTGATGTTTGCCCCAACATTTTTGTCGAGAATTACAAACTCTACATTTCGTTCAATTCTGCAAACCAATCAATGAAATTTGAATACAAGACCGCGGTAGTCAATAAGAAGTAAAAGAAGTTTTTTTATTATTTCTGTGCGGCTCAGTACCAAATAGTCCACGGCCCGGTATCAAATGGTCTACGGCCGGTATCGAATTGTCTACGGCTCGGTACCAAATGGTCCACGGCCCGGTATCAAATGGTCTACGGCCGGTATCAAATTGTCTACGGCTTGGTACCAAATAGTCCACGGCCCGGTATCAAATGGTCTACGGCCAGTACTAAATGGTCAATGGTCCGGTGCTAAATGGTCCACGATCCGGTACCAAATGGTCTACGGCCCGATATCAAATGATCCACGGCTGGTACCAAAGGGACTACGATCCGGTACCAAATGGTCTACGGCCCGATATCAAAAGATCCATGCATGGTACCAAATGGTCTACGGCCCAGTACCCGACTGCGGCCCGGTCGATGGTGTCTGCTGTAATAAGATGCGGAGTTTAGTACAATACACCTTCATTCATTAAAAAGCAACTATATATTTACTTGGCGTCATTAGAGGTCATTCTCTATCACCTGTTATTTTTAGCTTTTTTTTTATATGTGGATGAGCCTATTATATTTGTATTATCAATGAGTATGTTGTGGATAGAGTCTCCATGTGGATTTAAAAAAGACCTAATTGAGCTATGTTCAGAGTGATGTAAGGTGAGTCTTCTTGTTAGGCATGTTGTAGTATATCCAATATAATTATTTATAAATTTGGATTAATCAAGGCCATAAATTCTTAAAGAAAATGTGAATTCGTAAATAATATTGGTTCTCTGTAATATGCATGCATGTATGCATATATTAGGGATAATAAATGAAATCTACAACAATAGATCAATACATTTTCTTTTAAACACGTTTCGTTGAATATATCGGACAAGGAAAATTTGTCTATCTATATTTTTAAGATGAAGTGTTGTAATTATTGTTCGGACAGTTTTTCTCATCTTTGTTGCCATATTCACGACGTTTCGGCCGATGTATGCTCCGGCCTTCTTCAGGCTCTCCCTATATTTCTGAGATGAGGTGTTGTAATTATTGTTTGGACTGTTGTTCTCATCTTTGTTGTCATATTCACGACGTTTCGGCCGATGTACGCTCCAGCCTTATTCAGAATCTGTTTATATTTCTGAGATGAGGTATTGTGATTATTTACATTATTACATTGTTGAGATTTTTGTCCTCATCTTTGTTGTCATATTCACTGCGTTTCGGCCGTTGTACGCTCCGTCCTTCTTCAGGTGATTAGAATTTTGAACTGACCCCTTTATTCCGTCCACCGGGGTAGATTGTTCTAGTAGCTAGGTATTGAACTCACAGCTCAATGTCACACAGCGCAGTGGATAAAAGCGTTGGGTTAGGTCCAGTGACTTGACCCAAAGAGCTGGGAGTTCAATACCTGGCTACTGCAGTGGTGAAACACAACCTGGAGGGTTTAGTTAAAGGGTTGAGTTAACTGAGACATCCGGAAGAGGTATGGCACGTGAAACTAGAGCAATCTACCCCGGTGGACAAAATAAAGGGTTCAGTTCGAAATTCCAATCCCCTGAAGAAGATCGGAGTGTACAACGACCGAAACGTCGTGAATATGGAAACAAAGATTCATGCAAACAGTCCGAACAACCTAAATAGTGTAAATAAGGGAAATTTGATTAATTTTTTTTTCTATTTTAGTTTTTCTAATTATCCGTATTACCCATTGTCCCTCTGAATCGCTGTGTTGAGGTACAACGATGGCCTTTTGGACATATATGGACATTTTACCTTGTTTTGATGTCAGGGACACCCCCCCTTCCAAGTTTGTAAAAAATATTTTTGATATACCCTGTACATAGTGAGAGAGATGATTATATACAGGGTGTCCATAAAATTTCTTTGCACTTTAAAAAATTATAAATTTAAAATGCGCACGAACTTTATGGACACCTATATATATATATATATATATATATATATATATAACCAGCTTTAAATATAACAAATAAACCCCATTTTTTCTTTTTTTCAAAAATCTAAAATAAATATAAATAATAATTTTTACCTATCATAATTTTACACAAACCCCACAAACCCCACCACACGTATATACATACATGCGAGGAAATATTTTTCAGCGGAAAAATACATAATATGACATATATACATTCACGAGACATTAACGAGACATTTCCGCCACACTTCCAATCTTTAAATTTCAACATTTCAACATACAAATGCGTATGTATAGACACAACACCACCCGTATACATACATATGTCATATCCGAAACTGCCCACATATGTTTATATATGTATGAGTCCCGACGGACGACCAAGTATGAATATGTGTCTGCATATATCGATGTTTGCGTTAGTACGATGAATGACAAAACGACGAAGTTTCCCCCACCACAATAACACCAATACACGCAATCTACATAAACCCAAATTTTTTAAAACATTAATCAGTTTGTCTGACGATCGCTAAAGCGTGAAAGCCAGGGTCACAAACTCACATCTATCCAACCAAATATGTTAGCTCTATCTCTGATATTGAGCGCTTTCTAATAAGTACCGCGCATATAATATATATATATTTATTTATATTTATATACACTTTCACACACGCTTTCTAATAAGTACCGCGCATATAATATATATATATTTATTTATATTTATATACACTTTTCACACACACACACACACATATATATATATGTGTGTGTGTGTGTGTGTGTGTGTGTGTGTGTGTGTGTGTGTGAGTTGAAAATATGAATTAAATCCAACAAACAGATTTATGTTCCGACAATCGTCGTCGGAACTTATATCCCGTGCCAAGGGAATAAATAATAACAACACCAAGTGGATACTAGAAGAAAGGTTTATTGTACACAACAAGTACAATATGAAATACGGAACAGTTATACACACAGATAAATCTAGTAGTGAGTGCCACTAATTGGAAGGTTGGACGTGCTTGCGTCCTTTCTCTCTCTCACTCTTCCTGAAGTCTCTCGTAGACAGTTAACTTTATAGGTACTTACTACCTATAGTGTAATCATTCATGGGGGTGCCGGGTTACTCCATTACATCAAGAACAACTCGGAAATCTTTATAAATTTTACATGTTTCGCAATTTATTTAGCTTCATTCCAACTAGTAAGGACAAAACAAACAATTTAAAATCGAAAATTTAACTCCGAGACATTTCATTCACAAAATCTCCGATGAAACTAAATAGAGAAACATGCCAAAATGTATAAATATTTTTACGTGTTTTCTCATCCAATATATATATATATATATATATATATATATATATATATATATATATATATATATATATATATATATATTGATAATCCGTATGGATAATTCCAAGGGGATATAGATACAATCAAGAGAGAGCTCAATGTAATAATAGAGCAAATAATAATTATTATAAACGGAGACTTTAAAAGATTATAGAAATATTTTATTTCATTAATTCATCGGTTTTAATGAAATAAAATATTGCCACACTCTTTTAAAGTCTCCATTTTCATTTTCAGGTTTATATATATATATATATATATATATATATATATAGATAGATAGATAGATAGATAGATAGATAGATAGATATCTCTGTGTGTGTGTGTGTGCAAATATATGTATGTATTCAAAGTTTTTTCCCCCATTCTTATTTCCATTTTATTTTGAGATTTATTTGTATCGCTTATGTGATTCCATTAGATTTTTTTAAACGAAAAACTTTTCAAATTTTATTGTAAATTTTTTATTTTGTCAAAAAAAAAAAAATGGAACTGCAGTCAGCTTCTGTAATATTTTTGGCAAAAAATGAATTCGTGACGAGTAAATAAATTGATAACTGTTATTGATTCTCCGTGCGTTTAAAGGCTTCTTTTTTGTCATGCTTGCGTGTACGAGAATGACCCACTCTTTTCAACTAAAGAGATACAAATACACGAGGGAATGAGTAGATGTTTTTGTGTGTGGGGGGGAATAAACTAAACAGAAAGAATGAATAATAACGATAGAAAGAAAGAAAGTAGAAATATTAGAAAAGATGAAAAAGAAAGAAATGGAGAGAGAAAAAAATAAAAGTGTTGGAAAGAAAGAAAGAAAGAAAGAAAGAAAGAAAGAATTAATAAGAAGTGAAAAAGGAAAGAAAGAAAAAAGAATTG